AAGTCATCGAGGCGCTTTTACACGTACACATTGATATTATACATGTACTGTGGACAATACCCACAGGAGCAAATTCGGGTGAAGTGTCTTGCCCAAGGACACAACGGCCTGAAGCAGTGGGGCGGGAGCGGGTTTCGAACTGGAGTTCCCCAACACCCCCTTGATCTGATTATCAAACGCACAGACCACTGCGCCACCCGTCCCTAGATATGAGCCTCCTCTGTCCTCCACTTGTTAACTGTATTAATGGCACCTGTTTGAACTCGTTATCAGTATAAAAGACACCTGTCCACAACCTCAAACAGTCACACACCAAACTCCACTATGGCCAAGACCAAAGAGCTGTCAAAGGACACCAGAAACAAAATTGTAGACCTGCACCAGGCTGGGAAGACTGAATCTGCAATAGGTAAGCAGCTTGGTGTGAAGAAATCAACTGTGGGAGCAATTATTAGAAAATGGAAGACATACAAGACCACTGATAATCTCCCTCGATCTGGGGCTCCACGCAAGATCTCACCCCCGTGGGGTCAAAATGATCACAAGAACGGTGAGCAAAGATCCCAGAACCACACGGGGGGACCTAGTCAATGACCTGCAGAGTAGCTGGGACCAAAGTAACAAAGGCTACCATCAGTAACACACTACGCCGCCAGGGACTCAAATCCTGCAGTGCCAGACGTGTCCCCCTGCTTAAGCCAGTACATGTCCAGGCCCGTCTGAAGTTTGCTAGAGAGCATTTAGATGATCCAGAAGAGGATTGGGAGAATGTCATATGGTCAGATGAAACCAAAATAGAACTTTCTGGTAAAAACTCAACTAGACGTGTTTGGAGGAGAAAGAATGCTGAGTTGCATCCAAAGAACACCATACCTACTGTGAAACATGGGGGTGGAAACATCATGCTTTGGGGCTGTTTTTCTGCAAAGGGACCAGGACGACTGATCCGTGTAAAGGAAAGAATGAATGGGGCCATGTATCGGGAGATTTTGAGTGACAACCTTCTTCCATCAGCAAGGGCATTGAAGATGAAACGTGGCTGGGTCTTTCAGCATGACAATGATCCCAAACACACCGCCCGGGCAACGAAGGAGTGGCTTCGTAAGAAGCATTTCAAGGTCCTGGAGTGGCCTAGCCAGTCTCCAGATCTCAACCCCATAGAAAATCTTTGGAGGGAGTTGAAAGTCCGTGTTGCCCAGCGACAGCCCCAAAACATCACTGCTCTAGAGGAGATCTGCATGGAGGAATGGGCCAAAATACCAGCAACAGTGTGAAAACCTTGTGAAGACTTACAGAAAACGTTTGACCTCTGTCATTGCCAACAAAGGGTATATAACAAAGTATTGAGATGAACTTTTGTTATTGACCAAATACTTATTTTCCACCATCATTTGCAAATAAAGTCTTTAAAAATCAGACAATGTGATTTTCTGGATTTTTTTTTTTTTCTCATTCTGTCTCTCATAGTTGAGGTATACCTAGGATCAACATTACAGGCCTTTCATCTTTTTAAGTGGGAGAACTTGCACAATTGGTGGCTGACTAAATACTTTTTTGCCCCACGGTATATCTAATATATATATATCTACTATATAACTAAATTATATCTACTATATATCTACTGTATACCTACTGTATATATCTAATATATATATCTACTGTATAACCTGCACCTCACTGAAGTCAGATACCCGTCATATTTCATATATAACCTGACTTTTTAATAAGAATACGAAAATTCTATTTATTTTCGAAATCTTTGACTTTTTTTCTAACTACCATTTGTAATTTTGACTTTTTTCTCAAATTTTGACTTTTTTCTCAAATTTTGACTTTTTTCTAAACATTTTACTTTTTAGGAAGAATTTGAACATTTTACTTTTTTCTGAGAATTTGAACATTAACTTTTCTCAGAATTTTTTTTTTAAACTTTTTTTCTCAGAATTTGAAAATGTTACTTTTTTCTCAGAATGTCAACGTTTCTCAGGATTTAAGTTTTTTTGCAGAATTTGACTTTTGTACTGTTTGCGTGTTGTGTTCAGGAGCTGGAGGAGTTCTGGCCGTTCAGAGCTCTGCTGACGGAGCTGACCCGCAGGCTGAGTTACTGCGTGACCTCTGAACTCATCCCTCTGATGGAGGTGGCCGGGGTCATGGAGGTCAGAGCAACACTCACTAAAGATGCAGTTTGCCCCTCTCTGTCACTGTGCCTCTGTTTCCAAACATCCCTTCTGTTGTTGGGTACAGTTCATGAGCATTGGAGAAGATCAGACAATGTGGGTTTCAATGTGTTCCCTTATTGCAGATGTGCACTACTCCCTGTAACTGCAACTCTATTTCACTGCAACTGGTGAAATGTTCTCGACTGTCCTCTAAATAAAGAAATGTAAAAATAATGAACTACAAATTAATAAATTACCAAAATAGTTGAAGATTGATTTTCTGTCGCTGCAGCTCGACTGCTGAGGTGCATACATACAGTAAAGACCTGACAGTTAGAGTTTTAGCATTAGATTTGAGGTTAATCTTTTTAAAGTCATTACAGAAGGTTAAAAACTAATTCTAGGAAATAAAATGTATGGTAAAGCAGGATAAAGTTTGAATAAATCTGCTATTATGTGCAAGAAACACACAATATGCTGTTATCATTTTGATATCAATTAGACAAAAGCAGGAAATCTTCAGATTTGGAAACTGAAAAGAACATTTCTGAGATTTCTGCAAAAAAGGTAATTTGTTTCTAAGTTATTGTTTATTATTTGCAGAACATGGTGAAAAATGTCCCTCAAAGTTCAAGTATATTCTTCAGCATCCAAATATATGAACTTTAATAAGATACAACACACTTTACCCAGCGTTCTATAAGTCTGTTCTGTGTGTGATCCCCAGGCCCGAGCGAAGCAGCTTTATAACGCCGGCTATAAGACGCTGACTCACCTCGCCAACGCTGACCCGGCAGTCCTCAGCAACACCTTAGAGAACCTGCACCGAAAGCAGGTCAATCAGATCGTGGCGTCCGCTAAGGTGAGAGTTTACCTGTCGGCAGTGGAAACAGTTTTTATTTATACCAATCCATGCTGCCAGTCGTCCCTCCAGCTGCTCTGGAAGAACACAACAGGATACACAAAGTATTGATGTTACTGTTTCTAAAACGCTGCAGCGGACTCATTCCTTAAGTTAGAGTGAACATTCTGAAATCATTTGAAACTAAAGAGCAAGCAGAGCTATTGATCTCACTGACGTCTCCATATCTTGTCGGGAAGTCGCCTAAAAGACGTTTCAAAGTGTGGCTCTTTTCTGAGAGCTCAAATCTTCAGATCCAAAATGTTTGTATGGCGTTTCGACGTTGCATCACCAGGGTTTGTCCTTCAGAAATGGAAAACTAAATATATGCATGTACAAATGAGACAGTGGGTTATGCTGATTGTATCTAGAGAGAGAAAAAGAAAAAGAAAAATAATTAGATATTTTTCCCCCGAATTTCATTTTCTTTCTTAGAATTAGAAAATGTCAAATAAACGAAAAACACAAAAAAAACTATAACGACTAAAGTAATCCCCTACATTTCTCAAATGTTACGATACAGTTAAGATCCTGAAATCCTATGAAACTATAAGATCAGACGAATCCATTTACACCGAGCATCTCTCCATTCGGGAACTTCCCAAAAGAGGCTCCAGAGTATTTGACCAATATGGACAACAAGGACAGAAAGATATTGCTGTTTTATCTTGCTGTTGTTCCTCTCTCTCAGTGTTTCTAAAAAACAAACCACCCTCCCCAAACACCCAGACTCAGGAGGCCTGCTCTCCACTCACAGCTAATTACTCATGACAGCCTGACGATGACAGCTTCACTTCTCTGCATCGTTCACGCATCAAATCAACAACACAGATACAACCACAGATTCTACATTTCCTTCAGATTTAAAATGCTCTCAGGTTTTACTCCTCATGTGAAAGATATTTATTACAGAATTTATGTCCGACAGACTCTCAGATGGAGAAATGCTAAATGCTCCTAAACGTTAATTATTTACTCTGTTCCATTTATTTAGCGTTGTTTACGCACTCTTTGACTGCGTGTCTCCGTTGCTCCTATACTAGTCATTTTTAAACACTTTGAATTTATTATTTATTTATTTCAAATGTGAAATGTTACTAATATACTGACGGACCACTAGGGGTCGCTCACGGACCACACTTTGAGAAACACTGCTCTAGCTGTTTCAGAAATGCCTTAAAAACGTTTGCCTTTTTTTCTCCAGTCCATTTACACCGAGACTGTCTCACAGATTGTCAGGAGCTTATTTGGTGGTAAAGGAGTTCCATAGAGAGGCGAAGTCCCTCCCTTTCCGGTGGACCTCCATGGACCTCATTTCTGAAAAAGTATGTATTGAAGTCAATGGGGAGAGAAAGATTATCTTTCGATCCCGTTTGAATTGTGCCACGAATTACACATATGATGATTATCAATTTAAAAGATAATTTTGGAAGTCAAAAAAATAAAAATGTGTCGTAAAACTGTGAAGTAACATCTCCCGTCTCGCACCCACACAGCAAGACAGCCGTCACGTTGGCACATTTCAATTCTTTCTTTCAGAATGAGGCGAAAAGTATTAAAAGAGGTGAAAATCACTCCAAGTCTGGGCATGTTGAGAGCTGTACATACACAAAA